TGTGTTTAGAGAGAAATCTCTGAATTTCCTTTACATGGAGTTGAACCTAATAATATAATAATAATATAACAATTTAATTTAAATTTCTACACAAAAATTAACAAAATGCTAAGAGAGTGTACATGAAGCATTGGCGACTCCCAGTGAGGGTCCCGACCCCCATGTTGGGAACCACTGGGCTAAACCAAAGTCTTGCATACAATGACAGATTCTCAACGTCAAACCGATTCAGACGTTTAACGGCTGACGGTAAATTAAACCAACCGCCCCTTCCTCTCCCGTCCTAACGGCTCATCCTCGTAAACCTTCATTTTCTAACCGAACAAACGGTTGAAGCAGACGTCAACCGTCGACGCTCACTCGGGTCTTTACGTGAATCCGAAAAGACACGAAGCGCCAAGCTCGTCCCACGACTTTAACCGTAACTGCCCCGAAGCTCCGCCATTGGTCACAACCGTCCATCCGCCGGGGCCGGGAGGCGGGGCCGAGCTGTTGAATGACGGCCGTAGCTCTGTTGACACTTTAGAGCCGAGACAGCCTCCGGGACCCACACGGGCCTAATTCACGTTTACGTTTTATCAGATGAAACAGGAGGAGCGCCTAATCCCTTCGTTCACCGCCGGGGGGGATGTTGCGGACAGCGTGACTGGACCATACGGTGTCGGAGCCGAGCGGACGTTTTCACAGGTTGATGATCCGTGTTTGAGCACCGAGCAGGGAGACCAGCAAAAAGTACATAGCCTACATGGTTTCGGTGTCTATAGGCTGCTCCTAGACACATGGGCTTACATTTTTAAGGAGCAATAGGCGGTGCCTGCTGTTTCCTGGAAGAGAGAAAACCCCCCACAGACCTCCGAGCAGAATGGTACATTTAACAGGTTTATTGGCCGAAGTTGACGCTCAGACTCGGGCTAGGAGCAGCGTGTAGGAGGCTTGCCTGCTCAATAAGGGACCGTCTGTCTTGCACATTTTGACAGATAGCCAATCAAATCTGTTATTCAAATTGGTTCTCTTATATCAGTGACCTATATCTCATGCATGAGCGCCAAGAGTCCACAGTAACCTCTCCACCGGACCAGACAGCATGGGGATCAACGGGTTAGACAATCAGGCGCAGCCGTCCAGCGGAGACTCCCGGACGGAGCAGCCAGCTGCGGATCCTCAGAAGGAGCAGAGGGATGCTCCCGGAGGAGAAGCGGACCGGAGCAAGGATGACCAGGCGGCCGGCAGCGAGTGTAAGATCGCGCAGGAGGACAGCGCCGTGCAGATGATCGAGGCCGGGTGCAAGCCTCCCCTCTCCCCGGGTTCTGAATCCGAGGCGGGGGTCCAGGTGGAGGCGCACGGCCACGGAGCGGGATTCGTCCCGCCCGAAGGAGGTTACGGCTGGCTGGTGGTGTTTGCGGCCACCTGGTGCAATGGGTCTATCTTCGGGATCCAAAACTCTTTCGGCATCCTGCATATGATGCTGGTGAAGGAGCACGCAAACCCGGACGACAAGACGTCTCAGTTCAAAGTGGGTGAGTACCAGACTGTGTGCTGATGGACTGGACGTTCATCCTGCATGTGTGCTTGGGTTACAATCACTGCTATGAACGATTAAAAAAGTGGGAATTGGACCTGCGGAGGATGCTTAACGTTTGAAGGAGTTTCAGCATGTAACAGCAGCCTAATAGTTTCTGATCTGCGGGTTACTATTAATGTGCCACATACATGCAACAGTCTAAAACGAGTCTGGAGTTCAAGTGGGTTTACCCTGCACTTAAAGGGCACATAGTGTTACATTACATACGTGCCTCACCACTACTACTATTAGTCTGCATGTTCTCTTTCCTCATGCAGTCTAAAAAATGACCCCTATCCCTCATTTGAGTTGGTTTGTTGGATGTGTTTTTTTCCACTGGGGGTTCAGTGATTAGCAGGCGTTTTACCAACCAAATGTGTACTGTGCTCTCTACCCATTCATTAACACCACCGTTATTCCAGCTCCATTATCTGGCTGCAGCAAATCCATTTAAGTTTATCACAAGCCGCCCTTTGATAAAACATTTCCCCATAAGGCGGAAAGGTATAGAAATCTGAACTGTGTGTGAACCTGTGAACAAACTGTACTTAAAACCAACAACAACTTTACAAAGTGACACTTTCTGCAAGCCCTAATAACCTCCCCCCCTGAATGTGACAATGCACATTATTTCGGCTGTTACTGTATTGCTCTTTGGGGTTTTCCCCTTTCGCTGGGCAGGGCGGGACATTACTGCCACATATAACATATAAAAGGCTAAAAGGACCTATGATAATTAAATTTCCAGAACTGATAAAAAAATTGCACAATTTACTGATTGTTCTGGCATATGTGACCAGAAAGAGGCCAATGTTCACCCCTCTCTCAGCCCTGCGGGCTTCAGTTTAGACCAGTTCTGTTGAGGATTGTAGCACAAGATCTCACTGTATACTGGGTGGTGCAATACAATCATACAGCAGGCAAGGAGACACATCTGAATGTAGAAATCACTAATGTTACTTACGTTCAAGTAATGAGACACTTCATCCTCTTTTATTAGGTGAAGGGGTGCCAAGACTTTCTGATCCTGTTGGAGCTCCATCATTAGTTACAGAAACTTGACATTTTCTTGCTCGTACTTGTCATTGTAGTGGAAATGTTGAGCTCAAAAGCTGAAAGCCGGCATCCAGTTGATCAGCATCTCTGGAGGTTTGAGCCCTTGATGGTGTTACAGAGTCTCGGCCTCTAGCTTTGAGGTTGCTAATCACGTTAACAGCTGCCGACTAAATTAGTAATTGTGGGAGTTATTTTTTTAATGATGGATTTATGGGGTGAGGCTGTAAGAACGTTCGGACCGCGGATTTCAGCGAAAAGATAACGGGGGAGGGGGTGAAGAGGGAGCAGCCTGTAACAGGAGCGGATATTTTTCTTAACTTCCTGTTAAGTTCCACAATCACCAGCAAAAGGTTAAGGTCAGGATGTGGGAAGGGATTACCGTTCTAAGACTGTTCCCTGGAACAAATTCAACCGTTTCTCATCACCATGAAAACAGTTACTGAGGAAGAGAAATCAAAGGCTCAGACAGGATCAGGCCTGTTTGTTGTGCACAGGTTAATATCTTTTAATGTCATCTTGCACCTTGCCATCTCTTATTTATGCGAAGGAAATTGCTGTGGCTGACAAGGCGTCGCGTTACTCTGGTGTATCGTGTGATGGAGAGACTTAAACAGATACAGTATGACTGGTAGTTTCTTTTCCAAAGTCATCTAAAACCTGATATATCACTTATATATCTCACATTCAGCAGAGGGCAGTTGCTATCAAGATATTTCTATTCACCCCCCTTTTTTTTTTTTTTTTGGCTTGTTAAGGATTTCATCTCCAGCCGTTCCTTGGATCTGGTTCGTGGTGGTTCTCATATTTGAAAGGATTAAGCTTGTATGCTGAGTCCTGACCTTTTTTCCCCCCCAGCGATGGAACAAAACAAAGAGGGGGAGACAGCTTAACTATAATACTCACATTTGCAAAGTCTCCTTTTGAACAACTGTCCAATCCGAGAGAGTAACTGTCAGTAAAAGTTAAACAGGTAGTGAACTTACAGGACCATAAGGAGAGGAGGTGATTGGGATGTGATTAAAACTTGCTAAGAGATTACCATTAGGTCTTTTTACTGAACTCAATTATACTGGGTATTTATTAAGCCCCGAGGGGTAAACAAGAGATTTAAAAATGGCTCAGGAGTACCAAGGTAAGGGATCAGAACAGCCTTTTATTAGTAAAAGAAGGTAATGAAGTGAGCGGGTTATGAGTTGCAGATGGCTTTGTTTTTCCCAGTGATTACAGCATGGCACGGTCAACAGTACAAAACTGCTGGTATGTGAAGGTGTGCATGGGAGTGCAAGTATCCAACGGAGCGTTCTTTTAAAATTAAAAACAAAGAGTGCGGTGCTTTCATAATCAGTGGGGGAGTGAGCCCCCTCGTGAGGTGATGTGTGCTTGAATGTGGGAGAGAAGTTCGAGCTCTGGTACAGCAGATTTAGCAAAACTGGGAATGTGTGTGAAGGGCCGGAAGAAAGGGACTGAGTGAGCAAGTGATTAATTTTTCGTTGATCCCTAGAATGGTTTCCATTTATATGCCACTAGTGTGAAACGAATCAATAGGAACAGAATTTTTGTGCCTTGCTCGAAGGCATAAAGGCAAAAGTGACACAGTAACAGTATTAGTAGTGCTGCTTCTTCAGAAAACGAGATGTTTTCCTTCCACTTTATTGCGTTCCTTAGTGGACAGACTATAAATCTTACTGACAGCAGCACAACATTAAAACACACTAAACATACAGTACAGTGTACAGTAGTTCAGAATAGCTCATAATCAGTGCTACAGTCTTTAAGCAGCAGCTGAAACATACAAGTAAAACTAGTCAGAGATTCGGACGTGTTCTAGATGTTTTCCAGAAATGTGTGTTCAAATGTTTGATGATGATGTCCTCCTCTTTGTGTAACCTTGTTCTTTGTTATTTGGCTTGGCAATCATGGGTATTAGGGTAAAATCGATATCAGCTTTAAACTTTTTTTTTTTGGGATTGAAGCTTTAGATAAGTAAAATTAAGCAGGTGATTGTTACCTAAACAAAAAAAAGGGGATTTGTGTCTCCCATTTTGTATAAATTGTATTTTGTATAATTCAGTTCATATAGAATTAGTCCCCTAAAAGACAATGCCCCATTCTACCTTCAAATAAACAAGTTAAATGTAGTAGCACATTTCAACACAGTGTCCCTTTCGTTGTAATCAGAATGTAATCCTCATAATATCAGATGTGGTCGGCGCTCGTGGTGGACGTTTCTTAGAAGTGTTAACTCGTAAAGTAAAAAAGCCAGGATTAAACAGGTGTGTGTGTGCTGTCACAAGCAAACTTCTCCCCTCATTAGCACACTGCTGTGCTCTGTGTAGTGCTGTATTGTAGCTCTGCTGCCCCAGATTTCACCAGCATCTCCAGGGCAGCTGGAAATCCCAGGTTGGCAGATCAGGGAGCGCTGTGGCATTTTTGGAATTCCAGAGGGAAGGGGATTGGGTTCAGGTCAGATCAGAGTCTCTAAAGTCTCCATGCACTCATAAGCAGGTGCATACATATTGCTTTTTATTTTAACATTGTTGAATTCATTTCTTTTAGACGGTTTTCAAGAAGGTGCGCATGGAAATAGTGACAGGTAAAAGAAAGCCTCCCTAGCCAACATAAGGGAGTGGGTAGGTGATAAGTAGCATCATCCTTTTCACAGTTAGAGGCAAATGTTTAGGGGACATGTGGCATTAACCTTGAGAAACGTAGCACAACAGATCGTGTTGAAGTCTGAGAGCCTGTGTGTGCGCAGGGAAATCGAGTTGTGCACACTGCGCTCCCTGCATATCCATACACCCCATCTTGCATTATTGACAGTGGCAACACAAGCGGTTTGCACAGCTATATTAGATTGGATATGACTAGAAAACAGCAGAAGGAGTTGCAGATTGTTAATGAGCGGTACCAACTGAACAACTCATGGAGCATCTGGAAACTCCTGCTGTCAAACTCACTCGGGCTCAAGCTGACATGTTTGAAAACACTCCTCATGTTTGTAACAGCTGGTCCCACAAATGAATGTCTTACACTGGCAATCCTCTGCAAACTATTCAGCCTCACCTGATGTTCTGTATGGTTAAAAGCCAGCCAGGTAGTTGACGCTAAAACGAAACTTTATAAACACAATACACATTGAGTTTCTTCTGTGAAACTATACAACAGAGTCATAAATCATTTATTTCCTGGCACTTGCTGTCATTTGCTTGATATACAATGCGCTGGGGATCTGCAAGCTACCTGCTGAGTTAACATGTTTTGCTTCCATGTGTTTTCCTCATGAGAATTTTCTCAAAATGGCCTTGCTGTGTGCTCATAAGCAGAACAACTGGTGTTTCTTGACTGTTGTGTGTGTTGTCCAATAAGACCTGGTGAAAATTTAAGCTAAAAAGCTAACTGAGGATTAACCCAAACATTGGCAGAATTCTGTTCTGGTAAACATAGCTTATAGTTTAAAATATACAGTATCTTCTGGGAAACTTAACCACAGAGAGCAAACATGTCAGTGACAGACTCTTACTGACTTACATTATATGTATTTCCTTTTTTTAGAGATGCTTAAAATGAAGACTCAAACCCACCCATTAATAATACACTGTGGTCATTTTACAACCACGCTTTGTTATGCTCTTTGACTGTGTGCACTCTTTAAAAACAATATTTTTGAGGGCTTTTATTGCCTTTTAATGCATAGTGTCAGCTGTAGAGAGAAAGGAAAGGGTGGAGAGAGAGAGAGCAGCGGGGGGTGACAGGCCGCCAGGCAATACGGTGTGCCACCAGGTGCAGAGTCGAATGCCCATGTACGTCATATAACAACACACTATCCAGCCCCTGCACCTTGAGGGAATGGGCTTCCGTCTTTAGCCTTGTACTTCAGCCTTTTCCGTTAAATACATATGGCTATTGTTATTTTGACTGAGAGTACCCAAGACAATATCTACCACAATATGTTGTATTGTTTAGTTGATGGAACATTTCCTCCTGTGTCTAGTAAAATCATGTTTGCCACTAAAGAAAGTC